ACTACAATTAGACACAATATTTTCTGATTTTAGTAAAGCTTTCGACCAAGTAAATCACGATATTTTATTAAATAAATTAAACAATTTAGGTGTAACAGGAAACTTACTAAAATTACTAAGAAGTTATTTGCAGGATAGACATTTTTCTGTAAAATTCAATGGAAAAATCTCCAACCAATATCACTCAAATTCGGGTGTGCCACAGGGCTCTAACCTCGGTCCATTACTTTTTTTAATATTTATTAACGACCTTCCTTCTTGTCTAAACAATTCAGAGTGTCTACTTTATGCTGACGACTTGAAAATATTTAAGAAAATACACACAGTCAGAGACAGTGTAGCACTTCAAAGAGATATCAATAATGTTTATTTATGGAGTACTGATAATAAATTATATTTTAACATACATAAATGCTTTGTCATGACAATCTCTCGCAAGAAAGAGCCAATTATTTTTGACTACACAATGGACACTGATCTATTAAACAGAGTCTCAGAAATAAAAGATCTTGGCGTAACCTATAATAATCAATTATCTTTTAGTCCTCATATAGAAAAAATCATTAAAAGCGCAAATAAAATGCTTGGTTTCATTACTAGGCAAACATCCTCATTCTCGAACTTATCTTCAATCAAAACTCTTTACAACACTCTTGTTTTACCTAAATTAGATTTTGCTTCTATAATTTGGGTACAAGAACCACAAATATATCTTGACAATCTGGAAAAAATTCAAAATAAGTTTCTTCGGTATCTATACTACAAAAAACATCACCGTTGGCCCGATTACAATCATGTAAGAACACAAATGCTAAGAACAGAATTCCAAATAACGTCTCTAGTCGTTAGACGTAAGCAAGCTATGATGAAGTTTCTGTTTGGTTTGATGAATAATCAAAATACATCAAATAATTTATTAGCATTTATACCTTTCAATGTTCCTCCAAAACGCACGCGCTCCACTCTTTTGTTTAACTTAAAAATATTGACGCGCTGCTCTCCACTTTACTCTATTCTCTCCTTAGCTAATAATGTTAATGTTATGCATACTATAGATTGGAATATGTCATTTAATCAGTATTGGAAAGTTGTATTAAATTATTTTAAAAATTATGGGATTTAAACTATCATAATTATTAACAATCAACATTGGGTTGATCATTATTTCACAGAACTTGGTATAGAATTTGTCAACTTCGCCGTTCATATTATATTATATTTTAGTTTAGTTACTTGTCGTGTAATAATATTAATTTAATTATTGTAACAGTTTTAGCAATAATATCCATGTAATAAGGCTAAAAGCCTGTTTGGGTTGTGAAATAAATAAATAAATAAATAAATACAGGGTGAGCCATACAGCCACAAAAAATAATAATGTTTTGAAATTATTAAAAAGAGACCTTACATTTCTTTAGTGACTTTTGAATATTAAACTTATATATGATATATAAAGTCAATTTAGCTTTTCAGTTTGAAGAAAAAATAACTAAAATCAGCAATTCTCCACTTTAACGCCCTGTATCTCGAATTTAAAACTCACATCTCATATAAAGGTGGTATAAAAGCATTATATACATTTTACCAGGGAAATTTTAGTAGTTTTTGTACTTTCCTTAAAATGGAATAACTTCGAAAATTACCTTATATATTTTGAAGCTTATTTAAGTGGTATTACCTTTCCCAAAAATCAATTAATTTGTACCTACAGGGTTATGAAATAATTCTTAAAAAAAATAATTTTACGTTGTGGTTCTCTCTATAAAACACCCTGTATAAGAAATGTGTATTGTATAATCTTTTATTTTTTAAAAATATGCTTCCCTGACGACATAGTAAAATTATTCATACAGTCTGAATCACCCTGTAATAAAAATATTTTTAATTGTACCTAGGTACTAATGTAATAATAAAACATATAGTAAACGTGTGTATGCAACAGAAATTCAATATAGCTCTAGTAATTTTAAAAATAAAAATTTCGAAAATCTAAGCAATTTTCAACTTTAACACCGAAAATCAGTCATAGGACACTTTGGGTTACTAGGTAAATAACATACTAAAGTTTTAGAAAATTTAACCGGTCGTCACTTTACATAAGGAAAATGCGGGAATCCTTTGGGTAATGGATGTGTAAGTTTCACATTTACAGTTGAAATGAAACTCACATCTTTAAAAATGTATAGACAACAATTGGAAGATCAAAATCAGAAAGGATTATAAGAAAAAAATTATTTTTGAAACAAGAAAAGTGTTTTTTATGTTTATTCAAAAAAATTATTATCAAATTACCCAACCCCATAAACTCTTAAATTCGATAACGTCACGCTAGTAAGGTCAAGTTTGTACGATAAAATCTTGAAAAAAATAATAATCTACACCATGGTACAATTTGAATTTGGTCATCTGGCAACACTAGTGATGGAGCAGTGAGTTTGAGTTTGAGAATAGGGTACCTAGGTGGATACTTTATAGTGGATCGTTTTTCTACTTTATGGAAATACCTAACTGGTATTTACGATTGGAGAAGAAAATTCTTCAAATAAAAGTTGCTTGTAATGTTATTCTCTATAAGTTTTGTCACATACATAATTTTCTTAAAATGGTCCGTATTCGAGAAATTTAACAAAAAGTGCAAAATTCGAATTTTTAAGAGCAAATTGTTTAACTAAAACTTGTTTGCGATATCAAAAGCCTAAAATTGTACACTTCCTCAAATTTTTCCATTACAGTCCATTTTAGAGAAATCCTGTATAGAATGCAATGTTTGTTAAATTTTAAGAAAGTTATGTATAGGACAAAAATTATAGAGAATAACATTGGAAGCATCTTTTATTTGAAGAAGTTTCTTCTCCAATCGCAAATAACATATATTCTATAATGACATAATAACATATATTCTATAATAACATATATTCTATAATAACATATATTCTATATAAGTACGCCCCCCCCCCATCAGATGTTCCGACTATTCCCAAAATTTAATCAGCTCATCGCAGAATGGATGAAACTTGAAGTTTCCTATACTTTCCTTATCGTTATACAACAGGAAAGTAAAAAATGCGAAAATTAAGTATAGATTTCAAAAATTATCTGTGTATGAACAATGAGTCTTTCAAAAAGCTTTTAACTCTTGTAAAACCTACTGTTTACATGGGGGGTTTGTCCTCCTGTAAATTTGTCGGCTAAAGCCAGTATTGTAGGACTGTAGATAGGTTTACCTTAAAAAACTCCTAATCCATGAAAACGAAACTTCTGAAAAATACTTTGGACTATTTATGTACTAATGGGACTGATTGCACTGTTTACATTGAACATAAAGAGAAAACGCTAAATCGTTGAATAAAATTACTACTTCATGATATATATGGTTCTATGAACGAAATCACAGAAACCATATGAATTTAACGATCCCCGAGATGTGTCGATAGATATGGCCCGAGACAATAATGCACTACATGCTAAAGGTTCAACGATTGGAACGAAAATGATATTTGCCTAGGGGAAGCATGTTGATACTTCGGAGTTCGAAGAGTGACTCTGAGGCCCGTATTTATAAACAGACCTCAGCCGAGTCATCCTTGAACGAAAATCGAAGGTCTCAAGAGTTCCAGTGCTGCACTGGAATTTAGTTATGGACATTAGCAAATCCGTAACTGTTGAGAACATTTAAGAATTTTTTACTACCCATCTCTAAATTCACGCGATATAACCGAACTCAGCTAAGTTTGACTCGCCTGAGGATCTTGTGTGTGAAAAGACGTTGTCACAGCTACCCCTCCTCATTTCATAATGGCCCCGTCCAGTAGGCCAGGATAACATCATTTGATAAAGCTTTTTATTAAGAAATATTTTTAGCTATCTTGAATTAGACAGAGAAGGGTTATTGTTACTTTTATGAGATATCAATAATATGTACTGAAATGTTAAAAGACTGATGTATGAGACCGTTTCAAATCCAAGGGTAGTATTCTCGAGTCACGAATATAGATTCGCATGCGAGATTTATGATTTGTCTCACTTGGTTTTCATTCAACAAAGTGAGACACATTGTAAAACACGTATGCGAATGTAGGTATTCGTGATTCGAGAATACTACCCCAGGGATTATGTGCGAACTCGACACGTCATGTATCGAATAGAGACTACATAAAAATCACAATCTGTCTAACGAGTCTCGATACAAAATATGAGAATCCCACGGAAATATATTTTGTTGCTAGGGATGGAAGATGTTATTTGAATGTGCGAGCTTTGAATGCCGATGTTTTCTTAAGTCAGGTCCGGGTAGGGAAGCTGTTTAAAATGAGGAATTTATATTTTAAAATTAAAACACATTACAAAGAAAACACCAAAATGAGAAAAGCAATCAGTACAGAGGTGAATTGCAAAGTTACGATTTCTATCAACGGGGCGAATTTTTGACGGGTTTAAATTGGCAACGCTTATTTCTGCTTAGGCCATAGGAGTCATCAAGTCATGTTTACAACTAGAGACAGGGAAAAATGCATGGAAGATCACGCCTTCAGACAGTGATTGATGATAAATCGCCACAGAGTAACTTCTTGTACAATTACAGGACCCGACTTAGCAGCGTTTGTGAGGAATATTTTCCTTAAGGCAAGAGATCTTACGGCGAATCCTTGGCCCTTTTCGTCAAATATTTAACATTTCATTCTCACATTTCATTGGTACAATAGACCAGATTATTGGTGTTTATCAGATATGCATATTCATTATAGTTTTTTTTTAATTGGAACACTATTTTATGTACCTTATCTAGCTATAAACAAGTTTAAATTTTTATTATTTTCACTAAACTTGTAAAATTCCAAAAAAAAAAACTTATATTTCATTAACACCAGCGCCCCTGGAATGAAATTTAAAAGATCAATTAGCGTTCTTTTTTGGGACCAAATAGGAGTATATACCGATTCGCCTCTTTCTCCTAGTCTTCATAGAACAAACAATGGACAAAACAAAAAAATAATAAGACACCCTTAGACAAACTTGTAATTATATTCCAAAACTATTATATTAAACAACATATGAATGCCATAACAATGTAATATTGTTAGTGGACTGAGGAATTACTGTAAATAAATACAAAAAAAAAAAATAATAAAATTTCCAAACTCGGTGCTTGAGCGCCCACCCGAATCAAATCTAACTATAGAGGTCGTCTTCAGGATCGTCCTGGAAGTTGGCCTGGTCGCCGCCCGTGCCTCCCGGAGCCTGGGGCCCGCCCTGCGCCGTCGGGAAGCGGAAGTTTGTGCCAAAACCTCGAGACTGTTGTAGCGTTTGCGCGAACATTTCGTACTTCCTTATGTCGTTATCTGACACGGAGCGTCTGGCGAAGCGCATCGCCTCTTCGAAGTGGGCCCGAGTTATTTCTGGGACTGGGTCGTCGTCGTCCAACTGCAAATAACATTTTCATTTTTAAAAATTACATAAGAAAAAGAAAACATTTTTATAGAGAATGTAAAAAGTTTCTTGAAAAACCTAAAATGCAAGAAATTTTCACAGAAAATACAAAAAATAAAAACAAATGATTCAATGAAAAAAATGCATACAATAATTGGTTTATACAATTTAAGTAATTTCCAAAGGGACATTTAAACGACTAGTGAATAATTATAATAAATTCGAAATACACTCCTGTAAATCTCCTCTATATTATGGTTTTATGGCTGCTTAGGTACCTTCAAACAATGTTGCCAAATTAGATTTACTTATAGTGTAGATTTTATAGCTGAATTATATGTCTACTATACATATTTTATACAATTGGATACATTGTACCATCAATTTTACTTAAATTTAATGACAAGAGTCAAATTTATGATGAAGGGAATAGACAACTGAGGGTATTACTGTGATAATACAAGGTAAATTATACGAATACTAAGACAATCTAAAGTCTGTTCAGTCAACAAAAAAAGCTATCCAAACAAAGCTCGTTGTGTGATCGATGCATGATCACCTCCTGGCTTTGCATCTACTGGCTAAAATAAACATGCTGGCCAATCGTATTTAACTGTGATCGGCCGACGGAATTCGTTGTTGGCACATCGCTACGTCGACATGGTCAGTTTCATTTGAACGATTCTGTCGTGATATTTGGACAGATATTTAATGTACATACAGTATGGTTCAAATGAAAGGAATAAATTCATTATAATGGTAGTTGGTTTTTCGAAAAAATTCTCGGACAGGTCAATTTTGTTTGCTCAAAACGCAATTTTTTAAATATAATTAAATTTTCCCCCACTTCCCGTTTTTGGGCAGTGACGTCATTGACAATTTTTTTAAATAGTAACCCCAATTTTTTTTTCTTGATTTTGAAAGATCTTTCAATTTCCTACTCGGAAACATAATATTTGCAATATCTGACATAAAATTTAATGACAATTTCACAAATTCTTTTTTATTATTATTATTTTGTTGGATTAAGCACTTAATTACAAATAATTATCTTTTATTCATTTATTGTGTTCTCAAAATAAAATAAAATTTATGTGTCTGATCTTTAAATGACTTTTATTCAAAAAAAATTGTTATGTAAGATATTTCAAATATTATGTTTCCGAGTAGGAAATTGCAAGATCTATCAAAATCAAGAAAAAATATTGGGGTTACTATTTAAAAAAAATTGTCAATGACGTCACTGCCCAAAAACGGGAAGTGGGGGAAAATTTAATTATATTTAAAAAATTGCGCTTTGAGTAAAGAAAATTGACCTATTCGAGCATTTTTTCGAAAAACCAACTACTTCCTTTATAATGAATTTATTCCTTTCATTTGAACCATACTGTATATGGTGTTTTAAAGCTTAAAAAAAAGGAGAAATAGCTTGTTGCTCGAGAAACCAGAAATAGTATTGTGAAAAGAACAGCTTCGACTAAAAAGAGCAAAACGAGGTAGTTTTCAAACGCACCATATAATAAACACAAATATAATAAAATCCACTCCATTGTTTGGATGGATGGAGTTTAGCATATCTTAACTTTTAATAATTCAGAGCATTGGACAGAACGTTTGGGAGACTAAAAAGCAAGTTTAGACGACATTGAAAATTCCACAAGAAAGTTGGACAAAAGAAATGAATGAACCCTTTGAGTTGAATAAACCGAGACATAAAATATCCCTCTTTGGATTGGAAGTAAGATACCAATGACTCTTAAAGCTGAATTTAAATGTTACAACTAATAAACAGTCTACTTACGTCCATAGCTACGTTGGGAGTCAATGCTCTCTCCCGTTCCCTCCTGATTTCAGCTTCGATGCACTGTCTAATAGCGAGCTTGCATGCTCTCTGACATATCTCCGTCAAATCGGCACCGGAGAATCCGTGAGTAACTTTGGCAATGTAAACGAGATCCACGTCTTTAGCTACAGGCGATTTCCTCAAGTTCGCCTTGAAGATCGCTTCCCTGGATTTTTCATCTGGCAATGGGATGTAGATCAGTTGATCCAAACGGCCGGGACGTAATATTGCGGGATCGATAATATCTGAAAAAAAGAAACAAAGTACAGAGTAAATTATTTATTTAATGGTATTACTTCCAATAAAAGTACAAAATAGAAAAGTTAATAAAAGTCCGTACCTGGTCTGTTAGTAGCACCGATTATGAACACGTTCTTTTTGGCTCCCATGCCGTCCATTTCCGTCAAAATTTGGTTAATCACCCTATCCGCAGCACCGCCTGCATCTCCAACGTTCCCACCTCTACTCTTAGCGATGGAATCCAACTCGTCGAAGAACAGCACACAAGGCGCCGCAGATCTAGCTTTATCGAAAATATCTCTGACATTGGCTTCTGACTCTCCAAACCACATCGTCAACAATTCCGGTCCCTTTACGGATATGAAATTGGCCTGGCACTCGTTCGCTATGGCCTTGGCCAAAAGAGTTTTACCGCAACCCGGTGGGCCATAGAACAGCACGCCTCTAGACGGCTGCATACCGAACTTGAGGAACTTGTCGGGATGTTCGACAGGGTACTGCACCAATTCCTGTAACTCCTTTTTAACGTTGGCCAGCCCGCCGATATCGTCCCAAGTAATGTTTGGTACTTCGACGACAGTTTCGCGCAAAGCACTCGGGCTGCTCTTGGTCATGGCGTAACGGAAGTTCTCCATTGTTACAGCGAGCGAGTTTAGGACCTCGGCGTCGATTTGATCATCTTCAAGGTCTATGAGGTCCATTTTTTCTCTAATTTGTTGTAGGGCGGCTTCTGAGCACAGCGATGCCAAATCGGCACCTGAAATCAAAAACAGTTTCGTCGACTTTATCTAAATGTAAGATAAAAAAAAAACATTGGATTCTGAATATGTATTTAAATTTTTTAGAATTAATGAATTGATTTTATAGAATTTATAATGTTTAATATCCTTATACAAAAATAAATAAAAATTCAACTTCACAACAAATACCACAGATTTTGAATACGATTCAAGAACATTAAACATTACTTTTCCAATTCATCGTTTAACATTGACAGAAAGAAATCCATCATATTTTTTAATAGACTTCCAAACTTTGTCAAAGCAATAAGTAAGGAAAAATCATGACAAATCAATTATTGTTATCTTTTACAGTAATATTAATGCACTGCAAGTCTGTGGTAGAGGACATGACAAAATTGTATTTGATTACTTATTGGTGGATTCAATTCTTAAACGTGTTAACGAGATAGAAGATTTATGGCTGCTCGTTTCTTTCTCATACCTCTCATGCAATAATTAAAACTTTAGGTTTGGTCTCAAGGAACTCGAACAACCTCTAGTTCAGCGATGCACATACCACATACTGCGGGCCACGTGCGGTCCACTGCCGATATTAATGCGGCCCGCCAACGAATTTTAAAAATTGTTCGAAAAACTAGAAAAGTATCTTTAAGTACCTACACCACTTTCTTGTTCAGGTTTACTACGTAGGACAGATATTCTACTCGCTGGTCCAAGCATATTGTTACGAGACTAGAAATCTGTCTGTGCATCCCTGCTCTAGTTCATCGCAAGTTTCTGAGACATTTTGCATTCAGAATAGGTTTAGTATTTGGTAACAAAGATTAATTATATTATAATAAATATTGAACTTTATAGATCTTGAATATCTTGAACATATAGAATTTTATTATTTTTTCATAAAGTAATTTCAGGATCTATTCATTGTTGCGAACTTTTTGAATCCATTCAATTTAGAGTACAAGTAAAATATACTCCTCAATATGATTTATTTTTCATTCCAATTTCACAGAAATAATTATGGCTTATTTAGTCCTCTAACAAGAATGCAAAAAGTGCGAATTCATTGAATTTGAATATTCTAGGTACGTCTTTCGATAGCTTTAGAAAAGCTGCAAAAAATATTTTGAATATTTTCATAATTCCTAATGATTTTAATTGATATTTTATGATTTTAAAAATGACCTAATACTTATATTACTTAATACTTCTCATTTGACGAATTAAGTGTTGGTGTTTTTTTGTTTTTAAAATAATGTAAAATTACAAATTAATGTATGCTATCTCTTAAATGATTTTTTTAAATGTAATATGGATTTCCCATATGTTTATACACAGCACCATTAGAAAAACTCACAGTTGGAACAACGACACGAACATCTCACACAGCAATTATTTGTACTATAATTTATGAGATTATGTCACCAGCAAGTTTGTTACTTAATATCAATTCTGGCCCACATAACTAAAAAATTGAAAATTAGCACTAAGGTCATTGTTCCACTGAAAAATCGATATATTTTTTTTTATTTTCCCATGTCATCCTTAAAATACATAAAACCTAAAAATAAATGGAATATCAATCAACAGTTACTCACCAACATGTCCGTGAGTTTCAGCAGCAATCTGTTCCAAATCCACATCGTCAGCTAACTTCATATTCTTGGTGTGAATTCTCAACACCTCCAATCGACCAGTAGCATCAGGAATTCCGATATCGATTTCCCTATCGAATCTACCGAAACGACGTAAAGCCGGATCAATCGAATTCGGTCTATTAGTAGCCGCCATCACGATTACGTGCGAACTCTTCTTCATGCCGTCCATCAGCGTCAACAATTGCGACACGATACGACGCTCCACCTCTCCATGCGTTTTTTCTCGTTTTGGCGCGATCGCATCCAACTCGTCGATGAATATGATAGCCGGCGAGTTTTTGTCCGCTTCCTCGAAGGCTTTGCGGAGATTGCTTTCGGATTCGCCGGCCAGTTTGCTCATGATTTCCGGACCGTTGATCAGGAAGAAGAAGGCTCCCGTTTCGTTGGCTACAGCTCGAGCTATCAGAGTTTTACCGGTACCCGGAGGACCGTACAGAAGGATACCGCGTGGTGGTTTCACACCGATAGCCTGTAATAAACAACGATATCAGAACAATAAAAATACTTCTAGAGGGTTGATAGATTTTAACTTTTTTTACTTTGAATTATAAATTAGCTATTATTTTTCCGGATCAATTGTATTTACATCATCAGTTTAATTTGCAACTATCTTAGAAAGGACGTCAGTAAAATCAAAATCGCGAACGTTTGACAAGTTTTTATATTTTCTTAGAATCTATCTTTGTAGCATTACCATATCGGTCACATAACCCGTACAACTGAGATTGAAATGCTGTAAGCGTTTGTCAATTTCTTCTTTAGTCAAACTAGTTTAACCATAGTTATTTGCGGGGTTACCAATTATAGCAAACTTATGAGCCTTGTAGATACAAAATAAATGTTTAACAACTTTGACAATTATTAAATCGTGACTTTATTAACTTCAATGTACTCATCTAATATTATATCTAACTTTACCATATAACTAACAAAATATTATATAGGTACCCTACATAATCTCTATTGAGGAACAATCATAATACATATATTACGTATATAAAAAATATTTCTAAAATAAATAAAAAACGTATACAATGGTATTCCCGAATATTTTCCAGATTATACAAGTGGCAAAATTTTGTGGGAAATTAACAAAAGTTTCAGACAGAACAGTTTATCGAGTATTTAAAAATCTTTGTAAAATATCCTCGCTGGAAATAAAATAAGTGTCGAGCTACCTAGGGACACAGATTTGTCAAAAATACAATGTGAAGTTTTGTCTTGTGGGAGAGAATGGCTTTACCCAGGCATTTACCATCCTTGTGGTAGAAGCCCACCAAATGATCCTTTCCTAAAAATGGGGCATCTAGAGACGCCTCTCGGCTGTGAAGAAATCTACCCTCCACACCTTACAGGTACAAATAGGGCACTTTAAATGGTGATATATAATACAGGGTGGTTAATTAAAAAAAAAAAGATGTATTTGAGTTTTGAGTACAATTTGTTTCAAAAAAACAGTGCTTCGGCATAAATATGTTGACAAACATCAAAAAATGTTTACCGCAAAAAATTGATTTTCATATAAAACTGGTTCTAGCGTAATCACATTTAATATTATTATAATTCAAATATAAAATAAAATACAAGGTGTTCCATTAAACGAAATTAACTTTGATACGTATCACTTTCCTGGAGAACCCTGTATAATTGAAATTATTTTTAAATTACTGTGAAAAAAAAATAGTTTTGACCCACCACGTATATTGAATGGAATATCGCGATGTTTTCGACTATTATATTAATAATTACCTTAAACAAACTGGGATGCCTCAAAGGCAACTCTACCATCTCCTTAATTTGTGCCAATTGCTTTCTACACCCTCCAATGTCATCGTAACCTACGGCGTTGAGGGCCTCCTCCTCCTCTTCTCTCTTAATCGGATCCCCATCGCAATGGATGACCGTATCCGGAGCGACTATACAATAAGGGGCCGGATCAGTCTCGACTACCTTAAATTCAACGGCTCTCATGCCGCCGCGTACGATAAACACGTCGTCCTTGTGAATTGGTCTGTACGCTTCCAGGAAGTAGGGTTTTAAGTATACTTCGAACAAATTTCTACAAACGATTCGATGTTATTAATTTCAGAGGTACACACATTTCAATAAAAGATGTGTTAAAAACACAAGGCATTTTTAATCATAAAAAATAAATAATAAACATAATGACGGCAATGTATAAAAAGTTTATACCCGCGCCGCACATTAATATCAAAGATGGATTCTCTTTAACACTTTTGCTGCCCAAGCTTTATTGCCAACTACACACTCTGGAACATCAGTATACGAACATTTAGAAATTTGGACGTTCATTAACGTCACGGGCCATACACAATGAAAATCTAAATATTTATTCTGGGGAATAACTATTACATATAAATATGGACAGAAGTTAACACAAAAAGATAAAAGAATATAGACCTCTATAGGATGTCAAAGTAGTATATTTGGCTGACGGAGTACCTATAAATTCATTTATCGATCAAGGTAGAACAGAAGTAAAAGTTGGAAATGCTTTTGCCAGTTCTCCCACTTTATACACATAAATTGACAGGTTGGCAGCGGATCTCCCCGAAGTGGACGCGATACATTGGCGTACAAAATTATTTTATAGATGTTAATAACCATAGTAAATAGTTTAATAAATTGTGAATAGCTGTTGAAATTTTGTAAAATTATAATTTGAATATTATAATACATGTTTAATAATTATTTATAATCCATAAATACATGCAAATGTCCGATTCCGCCGATAACAATTTAAAATTACTTATTCTATGAAACGACACTGGCAGGTAAACATTACTGTGAAATTCTCGGAGCCGCCCGACGTGGTTTGACGTTTACCCCCTCTCTACCTACCAAAACACTTTTCAACTTTTACTTTCTCTATAGTCAAGCACTTCATGAATGGCTGACCCGAGACTATAAAGTTCTCGGGAACCTATCGAGGTGGTACAATTAGTCAATGAAGCTGCAGCCACCATGTCAAAATCTTGTAGGGAAGGCTGGACCATTCATGGCGGGAATCCAAAACAATCAAGAGTTTAAAAGGAAGTCTAAAAGGATGAAAAGTGATGTAAACTCTTCGTCGTAGTTCTGGCTGTTCCATTAGTGCATAATTGCTTGATATATCAGTTTGTGTTATAGACGTTTTGAATAAAATATATGTGGATTTAAAAAAAAATATAATTTAAAAACATGTTTGGATATACAGAGTGTTACGCTTTTACCTGGAAAGTAAAAACACGTTTTTAAATGGAACACCCTGTATTTTATTTCAATTTTAGAGTGGGATGGTAATACTGTATTTATCACTAGAATAGTTTTCAACTTATAAGGACCGAGCTGTGATGAAAGAACTGGTTCAGTTTATACAGTGTTTTAATTATACATACACAGAGTGGTTAATAGGCAGATATTTGATTATCGTTAGACAATATTTTACTATTATTCTTAAATATTCATATTAGTCTATAAATGAGGGGAAAACCAAACACCTTGTAGGTAGTGACGCCTTACAGATTTGGTTGTTTTCATATCGTTTTATAATTTTAATAGACTAAACGTTTCTAAAAAAATGTTTAATTTTCATTCATTTGCTGTGATGCATACTGAGGTTACCATATTCTCAATTTTTTCAAAACTAATATCCTGTGTGTCATACCACCAATTTATAAATTAATTTCTTTACTTTTTTTCATTTTGTTTGGCATTCTATTCCCAAACTAATTTTTTCTCAAGATTTTGACGGTTTTACCATGAAAATTTACATAATTTTTGGTAACCCATTTGTCAGAATTAAGGAGTGGTTTTCTATTCCTCCAACATTACAAGTAATATGAACCATTGTAAATAAAATTTAAAAATTAGTTTAGGCTTAAGAATGCTAAATAAAATCAAAAGTAAAGAAACTAAATTATTAGTAAATTAAATTTGTCGGGTAACATACAAAGTATTCCATTGGAAAAATAAATAAGAAAATCGTAATCTTGCCTTTTGGACACACCCTATATACAACGTAGCAAATGAATGGAAAGTCAAAACATTTTTAGAAACGTTAGGTCTATTAAAATTGTTTGACGATGTGAAAACAAATAAATTTGTTATAAGGGGGGTTTATTTTAAAATAGTATAAGTTGTTCCACCACTTATTTATGAACTTTCCTGTATACTTAAGAATAATTTTAAAATATGGTCGTACCACTTTAAAATGTCTTCGTATCTTCAATAATAAAACAGCTATTGATCAATTACACACTAATGAGACACCTATGTATACGCTAACATGATGGTATCGTTAGATAGGTAAATTTATAATGAATTTAATGCTAAAATGATATACAGGGAGTTGCATTCAAATTGAGTAAAATGAAGTTATGAGATGTTTCAAATCCCTCTGTATAAAATAAACTAGTTTTATCATGTTTCATATCTTATAAGCCTGTATTTTAAATAATGTTCAACTCATTGATAAGCTACTTAAATTCTGATAATTTTATTTGGGGTCTGCATCATTTTATATCCCAAAAAAATAATTGCTTGGCAAACCTGTAATACTTTTAAAAAATATTCTGGGGTTCAATACACTATACCTAGGAATTCTAATACTGAGATAAAATACAGTGTGCCATTTAAAAAATATATATTTTTACTTTCCAAGCAAAAGCGTAACACACTGTATATCCAAAAATATTTTTATATTATGTGTTTTTCACATCCATATAATTTTTATTAAAGACTTGTTTGCGTGTCTATGACACAAATTGAAATATCGAGCAATTAGGTACATCATTTAATTAGAACCTGTTAAATTCATAAACATAATATCAAAACCAAATTCATAATGCACTAGTTTAAGAACGCTTTCACATGCCTACGGGGTTATAAAGAGAATTCACTGCTTGGCGGCTTGTCTAAATTCATCTTCAAATGACGTTACAAAACGTCATGGGCAAGGGAGTAAGAACTATCATGACGTTAATAAACGTCATGGGCAGCGAAAGTGTTAAAAAGCAAATAATTAAATCACCCTATTAGAACCTAAGAAAAAAAATGCAAGTAACAAGAAGTTCTCTCGTAGTCAACGGCGAAATGCTAAAATATCCTGCTAAAACAGTAAGTACAGTTGACGAAACCAAAATGTGAACGTCAAAATTTAATGCATCATAGTCGTTCGTCGCATTCAAATTTCTAACATATTTTCAAACAAAAATGCCGCAGCGAGGGCTATAAACAAAATGAAATATCTTTATTAGAGTAGGTAACCTTAATACACATTTTTTTTTAAGTTACAAAAAAAACAACACTCAAATTCAAAATGCAAAATACAAAATATGGAAAAAAAATTACAATTTATGACTGAACAAAACAGAAAAAACAATTTTAAGTCCAAAATATAAAAGTTCAAAATACAAAAGTTTAAAATATAAAATACAAAAGTTTTAAAATATAAAATACAAAATATAACTATCGATACAATCAAATTTTTTTTTTAAAAGTTAGCACATTTAATCAAAATTTCAACTCATCCCATTAATCATGAACAAGTTTCATTTTCTTTTTAAAAACTGTTATTGACGAACTAGATTTAATACAAAACGGCAATTTGTTGTAATGGTTGAATCATTTGAAAAATAAGAAATTCATTGATGTTCGTTTACTTGTTCCAACTATGTACAAGTTACTGTTATTTCTAATATAGTAGTAGTTATGAATATTATTGTTAAAATTAATGTATTCTCAAAAATGAGGTGCTGCCAAACCATTCAATATTTTATATATAAACACCATAGTCAAATAGTATAATCTCTGGTAAACCGGAATACATTGCAGTGATCTAAGCATGGTAGATATAGGAGTATATTTGCTACATCTCAATATAATCCTCATACCACGATTTTGCAGTTTTTATAACTGTTTCGTTTATTTTAGGTTGAAATGGAAGATAATTGATGAACAATAATCAAAATGTGGTTGAATAATTGAACGATAAACTGTAATTTTAGTTTCAGCTGGTAGGAAATCTATATTATATTTATTAGTTATTATCATAGCTTTAGTTTTTGATATGTAAAGTTTATTTTACATCAAATAATTATTGGCAGAGTTAGAGCCTGATTCATTGTTTGTACTGCATTTTCCAAATTATTATCACAAGCCATTAAAGAATCATCTGCAAATATATTTGTAAAATCAAAATTAACAAAGAGGATTAAATCATTTATATATAAGATATATAAAAGTGGTCCTAAGGCGCTACCTTGGGGTACACCAATGTTAATATTATTTTTAGCAGATACATTATTATGAACTTTTACTCTTTGTTTTATTCCAAATAAATATTTAGTAAACCAATTTGAAACAAACTGCTACTACATAGTTATTGTTTATCTCTATTTTAAATTTACATAAGGAGAGTTGCAAAGCTGCCTCACAAGAGTGTTTTTGCGGAATCAAGATTGGTTAATAAATAAAATATCATAGTTTTCAAAATTTTGAAGAGTTTGTTCATATACAACCAAGCACTTTTTCTATAGGTGGCAAAGTATACAGGTCGGAATTCAGAACCATTTATTGTATTACTTACTTTAGGAATTGGAACTATTGTACTTCTAGACTACAACCCCATCGAGAATTTTCAAGGGGGTATTTGACCCAGCATGAATTACTTATAAATATATAACAACAACTTTAGGAACTATGCCGTCAATTCTTCTTGTTACACATATAAGCTAAACATACCACCAAAAGGGGGTGGTTTTCGGCAAAACATTTTTGTACCTCATTTTTAAAGTAAGTAGGTAATGAAAAAATAATGACCTATGACCTAATGCGGTACAAAATTTTTTGATTTTCCGAAACTGCGATTTTTGGCGATTTACTACACTACGGCATTTATACAATAAGATTCAGATCGTTACATAGATAACTTTTTTAGCAATGCCGTACGTATTTGTAAGTAGTAAATTCACTGATTCTAATTCTATTTTATAAAGTAATAACATTTTTGGCCATTCAGTACATTTTTCATAAAACATGTGCTTACTAAACGAACAA